CTTTTTTTTAAAACTTAAAAAAAAAAAAAAAAAAACTATGCCAAAATATCTTTTTTTTTTTTTGGTAAAGTTTACATTGGTCAAATCCAGACCAACCAGTGGCTAATGTGATGACAAAGTCTATAGTACAGAGAAGAAAAAGCGAAGTTTTTTGTAATCTACGTCTGTAGGTGTTTACCACCCTGGGTATGTGCCCATGCCTGATGTTGCCAGAATGATGAAATTCCTTCTTTCCTAATAACCAATATGTGGAGATATGGGACAGGGATTATTTCCCTCAACTTCTTTATTTATAGAATTGATTTTTAGCTGTCACTTGAACACATGGTCTCCCAAAGAACAGGGGGGTAAAAACAGGTTGCTAGGCCCACTTAAAGAAAAATTATTATAACATATGGGGGTGCTTCAGAAAGTTCATGGAAAAATAGAATTAAAAGATAATATGAATCCTTCCATGAACTTTTTGAAGTACTTCTGAATTGTAGACATACAAAAAAGCTATAAAAATACTGAAACATACCTGTGTGTCCACCACCTAGTTTAAGATTAAGTGTACTTTTCAAGCACAGATTGTTACAGGGGATGCAACACACACCTTCATTTTGTGGCAATGCTTCCACCAACATCTTGGTACATGTATCTCAGACATCAATGAGGAAGGCACTTGAAGAGGTTGAGGCCTGCAGGAAAAATGCATGCCCATATCATCTGTAGGAGTTTATTTCAAGTATACCCAGAAATGTGGAATAAGCTAAGACTGGAATGTAGAGCCTCATGGAGAACCAAAACCACAACTCCCTCGTTCACTAGAACCTGGGCTGTCTGTCCTCACCCCTTTAAACTTTGTTTCTCACATGGGCGGAGATGTGTGGGTGTGCTGGTTGCCATCAAATCCAGAGCTCCCTGTTGGACAGTTTCCAGCCAAGCATCCCAGAGGCAGTTCACCTCCCAGATGTCCAGTTGCAGTGTGGTCCCCTTGGGCTCCAGCACTGGTCTTCAGTTCAGCTGGTTATGGCTGGAGTGGAGGGCAGGGTGGCTTCCCACCAGTGCACCTGGGAGGAGCCACAGCAACACACACAAAGAAAAGAATGGTTTGGCTCACCGTTTCTAACAGGTTGGCAAGTCAGGTGTTGGTGCTTCATGGGCTTTTTCCCTCTTCTGCAATCTATCGCATTCTAAGCATGGCCAGAAGCACAGGGCAGGATGTGTGTGCCCATGTGTGGGAAACATCCTGAAGTCCAGATTGCCTGAAACACAGCGTTTACATAAGGACAAGGGAGAGCTGGCCGGAAAGGGAGTTTGAATCACAGGTCAGAATTTGAATTTTATTTTGCAGAAGGAAGCCATTGAAGGATTTGGAGCTAATAAGTAGTGTTACCAAAGCACATCTTTAGAAAGATAATTTGGTGGTAATGTGTTAAGTCATAAAATGTGAAGGGTCTGAGATTTTACCCAATTTAAAAGTTAACAAGTTAGGGCCGGCCCGGTGGCGCACTGGAGAGTGCGCTGCTTGGGAGTGCAGCGGCGCTCCCGCCGAGGGTTCGGATCCCATGTGGAGACCGGTTCCCGCTCACTTGCCGAGCGTGGTGCGGGCGCAACACCGAGGGTTGCGATCCCGTTGCCGGTCCCCGGTATGGGCGCGACACCGAGGGTTGCGATCCCGTTGCCGGTCCCCGGTATGGGCGCGACACCGAGGGTTGCGATCCCGTTGCCGGTCCCCGGTATGGGCGCGACACCGAGGGTTGCGATCCCGTTGCCGGTCCCCGGTATGGGCGCGACACCGAGGGTTGCGATCCCGTTGCCGGTCCCCGGTATGGGCGCGACACCGAGGGTTGCGATCCCGTTGCCGGTCCCCGGTATGGGCGCGACACCGAGGGTTGCGATCCCGTTGCCGGTCCCCGGTATGGGCGCGACACCGAGGGTTGCGATCCCGTTGCCGGTCCCCGGTATGGGCGCGACACCGAGGGTTGCGATCCCGTTGCCGGTCCCCGGTATGGGCGCGACACCGAGGGTTGCGATCCCGTTGCCGGTCCCCGGTATGGGCGCGACACCGAGGGTTGCGATCCCGTTACCGGTCAGTAAAAAAGACAAAAAGAAAAAAAAAAAAGTTAACAAGTTAGCCTAGTTGATTACCCAAGCCCCAAGTCCCATGGGGCAATGTGGTGAGGGCCAATGATACCTGTACATGCAGAAGGGTGCATTACAGGAGAGGAACCCCCAAATTAGGCTCCTGTTTTCTATAGGCTGCTGATGACCTGCCCATTGTTCTCTTTGGAGAGAGACTTTATTTAGGAATATAAACAAATCTCTCTGGGGAAGAGAAGCCGAGGTCTTTATCTTTACTACCCTGTAACATCATAGGAGGGAGCAGTCTTTAAGCTTTACTACCGTGGGATGTCTCCTTATATAAACATTCTTAAATTGGTGTGAATCCCTTTGCTGAGAGGCCCCAGTCAGTGCAGGAATGTGAGATATTCATGGACATATCATCACCCAACATGGTGCAGGTTGGATTGGAAGGGATAGAATAAGTGGCAAGAAGATTAACTAAAAGCAATTGCTGTAGTTTAGGGGCAAAGAAAAAAAAAAAAAAAAAAAAAAAAACTGAGCTAAGGTGGTGTTGAAACATAAAATGAAGAGAAAAGCTAAGTATGAGAGACTTTCCAGGGGAGAATTTGATTGCTCAAAATGACCACTTGTAAATTGGAGGTCCAGATGATCTTGGGTTTTAGGATCTGATGTGGTGATCATGTTAACTTAGACAGGAAAGGCAGGTTTTAGAACAATGAACCTGGAGCGCTGCTGTGTAGGTGAGAAGGCAGCAGCCAGAAGGCAGCTGAAAATGTGAGCGCAGTTGGAGTGTCTGGGCAGAAGAGTGAACGTAGAGAATTCTTTGCTGAGTTGGGGAAAGCAGCAGGAAGCCTCAGGAATGAGTGCTTTGAGCAGGATCAGGAATGAAAGCAGGATCTTTTAAAATGTCTGTATTGAGCAGTCAGGAAGAGGAGAGACTCAGCAAGACCACGAACCAGGATAGTGCAGGGTAGTGCTAGGTCCTGGGACCCAAGGAAAGGAACGTTAAGATCACCGTTAATTGCTGCAGCACACACCCCCCACCAAAAAAGGTGAGGGCACCCAGCAACCAGGAAGTCAGTGGTGAGAAAGGATTGTTTGGATGGAGGCACCAGAAGCTAAAGGTGAGGGGCTGGCAGGTCTGGTAGAGAAGAAATGGAGCCTGCGTATGAAAGACGGTGAAGGGATTTGGTGGTGGGAGGGGGAGAGTAGGAAGGTAGCTGGAGGGACATCTCAGGGCAGGAAGGGACTCTTGGTTCTGTGGTAGGTGAGAAGGTCTGAGTACATTGTCAGCAGGAGGATGTCCCAGGAAGAGAGACGGTGCAGAGAAGTGCGGGACAGCCCGTGTTGCCTGGCATGTGCCTGGTTGTGGGAAGTGCCCCGAAGCTTTGACAGCTTGTCCCCTACTAAACCTCTCTGACAGCTTGTTACTCCCACACTTGTCACTGCGGGTCTCTGCTTAGGCTTGTCCTTCAGGGTGAAAGACAGTTGTCATTGAAAATCTGGGCTTCAGTTGGCTGCATTCATTCTGCCTTAACACCCATGAATGGTCTTTCTTTAAGAAATGCTGAGGCCCTGTGGCTGCTTAACTCCCTGTTAATTTGGCCACTACCCTTTTCCAGTTAGCATCGCCATCTGTTCCTCACCTTCCACTACTACAGTTTCAACCTCTGACTCTTGGGACTTTAAAATGTCTTCCCCTGCCACTCCATTTATCGTTAGGTCTGCAGTTGTCTTTTCATTCGCAGTCTGCTACTGTCTCCTGTCTTCCCTTTCCCTTTCTGGGGTCATCTTCTGCAGTTTTGCTGTAGGATC